CTGTGAAGGCTGAGCTGCTGAAGAGACACACCTGCACTGACCTTGGAGAGCTGCGTCGCTATCTTGGCCTGCAGATCTCTAGGGACAGAGCAGCACGCACCATCACTCTGACCCAGTCACACTTGGTGCGTCAGGTCCTTCAGAGGTTCGGTCTTCAGTTCTCCTCCGCACAGCCCACACCTCTACCCGTAGACCATGGGCTCTCTGCTCCCGTTCCTGAGGAGCCAGTAGAGCCCACTGGCCCCTACGCAGAGCTGGTGGGTTGCCTCATGTACCTGATGACTTGCACTCGCCCAGATCTCGCATACCCTCTCAGCATCCTGGCTCGCTTTGTGGCTACAGGCAGACACCGACCTCAGCACTGGTCTGCCGCTAAGAGGGTTTTGCGTTATCTTGCTAGTACATCAGGCATGGGGTTAGTGCTAGGAGGACGCAGGCCAGTGGTCCTTACTCGGCACACAGACGCTTCTTGGGCAGACGACGCTGAGACGCTCAGGTCGTCGCAGGGCTACTGTTTCAGCCTTGGTTCGGGTGCTATCTCTTGGAGATCCACTCGCTCGTCGTCTGTGGCTCAGTCTAGCTGTGAGGCTGAGATCTACGCTGGTGCCATGGCGGCACAGGAGCTCCGCTGGCTGACCTTCTTGCTCACAGACTTAGGTGAGCGGCCTAGCTCTGCCCCGGTCCTGTACGCTGACAACAGGGCCATGATACTCCTGTGTCAGGAGCCTCGGCTTGAGGGCAGAGCGAAGCATATCCAGCTGCGGTACTTCCTCCTGCGCGAGCTACAGCAGCGCCGCCAGGCCCGCGTAGTTCACTTGGCCTCAGGTGCCAACACAGCTGATATCTTTACTAAGGCGCTTGCGCCTAAAGATCATCAGCGGCACTGTGTACAGCTTGGTCTTGTTCCTATAGCTGCTCCCCTGTTAGGATCCTGATTGTGTACTCTCTATTATATATGCTTGTCAGACTGGCCTTGTGGCCTTACCTCCAGTGGCTGGACTAGTAGTGCCACCCTGGCTTGCTTCAGTTTTGGTTGTATTCTTGCTGACTGGTCTCCAGACCCCTGCCTCAGTGGTTGGACTAGTAGTGCCGCCCTGAGCTGTTTGCTTCTTGTTTAGTTTCACCCCTTGTCTAGCCTAGGGGGTGTGTCAACTTATACATATTATCTATGTAGAAGTTATAGGCTAGACTGAGGTATGCTTCTAGTGAGTACAACCAACTAGTATTTGTTCTAGGTTTCCACCTCTAGTAATCATTCGTTTCTACGTTAACATGTTTGTGTCAGACTCGTCAACCAATGTTCGGGGCCGAATCCACATCATTTTTTTGGAAAATCCAACAACCACAAGACCAGCCATTTATGTTCCTCCACGTTTGCCCCACAAATTGTGAGAATAATGTTTGTACAGTGTCGTGGGCTGATTACAATCGCGGGCGTGTTTTATATTACTCTTAAATGAATCTGGATGCGCAAACAGGACTGGTCACCGCTCTCGTCGATGTTCGCCTACCCCGTCTATTTGAGCGCTGTCAAATTTCTCAAATATAAACGCCTTTCCCTTGTTCTTGATAGAGCGCGTTGAATGTTGTGAGGAATCTGAAACTTTACCATGAACCCTGTATTGACGCGCGTGCGACCTGATGAGCGACACCTGATCGCAACAAACGCCAACACCGCCGACCATGAACAGTTCATAAAATCCAAGCAAATAAAATCTTGCGACACTCCATAGTCCCGCTTGCCAGAGCATATTCCATGTACGCCAAATGCCCCGAGTCGCCCCCGGGTGATAAGGGAATATGACTTGTACGCACGAGCCTACTGTTCACGCGTTGACTCGCTACTGCTGACGTCATCCCGCGCGTCCTTTCATATGAGATACCGCGCTACTAGTACAATCTAACTGTAATATCAGGAATGCAGAAATGGTAACTCTACCGAGTATACTTCAACAAGCTACTTATCAAGATGCATGCGAAGAGAGAAGTCCACAAGTTTGTGAGGTGCAACAGAACGCATTGCTCTTGAGGTGCACCTGGTAATGCTGGAGTCTGATCTGATGCATGTGAAGTGGCATGAAGGATGAGTGCGTGTAGCATGGTTCTTGTTTGATGCCATTGTTATAGATATTACTTATGTATTGAATTGTGACCTAGATATCGCTCTATGTGATGGCTTCGGGTGTACTGAAGAATTGTGACACGCGTTTCGTTGTCTTCAGCTGTGCCCTGCTGTGGCTTCCAGTTCAGGAATGGAGTGACCTGAAAATACCCGTGGATCAAGTGTAAGTGCGTCGTTAAATTTCAAGGGTATGGAGTGATGCTGCTCAATGAGTGGTTAATGGAGGAGGGCGTCTGCCAGTCAGATACAGTACTGTACACCCTTCAGAACATCAGGGAGGATTGCAACTTGCAAGTGCACCTCAGCCTAACCCGAAGGAGCCCGACCCAGCCGTTCACTGCACTGAACCACATTGATCGTCTTGAAAACCCTAATGGACCGAATTTAGCTTTGGTGAGTCGACCTGACCCAACCCGATGGTACTTGCAACCCTTCCTCAGCGTTCCGGCGGCGCCTTGTGGCTTTCTTGTCGTCGGCGGTGTTAGTGTGCACGGATGGTTCGGAGGGAGTGTTCAAAATGGGCGAGTAAAAACTACTGTGGCAAACCGAGGTGCAGAAACAAACAATAATTTCTTTTTCCCACTTGGGACACGCACCCGAGCGGGGGGCAATACTTCCCAGCACATCGGGTCTGGCTGCGAATAATTTTATGGTTCAGAACAGGGCTTCTGCTAGGTTCCTGCGACGCTCGGACGTTCAGGGCGCCCCTCGAAGTTTACCCTGAAAAAAAAACGGCACGGCCAAATCGTGCCCTTACGAAAAGGGCTCGCACCAGATCCCCTCGGCCAAATCCGAGCTGCCTTTAAAAACGCTCTTGGATCTGTCTAGTTACGTTACATTTCAAATCGCATATATGAATTGTCCATAAAATTCAAGTTATTAATGCATGCAATGTCTAAAAAAAAGGTTTAGAGGTACGCTAGCCAAGAACTCACATCACACCAACCTTACTCGCGTCACGGACGGAAACAGCGAGCGAGATTTGAGGGGCCAACTGACTGGAGGAGGGGCGAGATTACTGGAGGAGCTGAAATGGCTGGTGGACGAGCGAGATGAGGTGCGCGAGCTGACTAGATTGGCAGGGCAGCACACGTGAGGTGAGGAGGAAGTTCTCTCTCGCAGGGGGGGGTGGGGGGGTGGTGGGATGGGGTCTGGCTACGGGTAGCCTCAAACTTCTCTCGGACGAAAAGGCTGGCACCCAAAAGTCCCCTGAAAACCAACGAGAGAGTTAAATTTCAACTCTTTTTTTCAAGGGCTGCCTCTAAAAAAACTCTGAAAATCAGTCAAGAACGGGCATTCACCCTGTTAGCATAAGCCCTGGTTCAGAATAGGGTGTACCGGGATGTATGTACCCGCTAACCGTCAGAATTAACTGTACGGCTCACTAGAATACCCGTGATCTGGCTTTCGAGAACCCGAATTTACCACGCGGCGCGCTCCAGTTCCGCGAAAAGCCAAAACATGGGGTGAACCGACTCAAACGTTAAAAACGGTTATGAATTGTAGCGAAGGCCTATTCGATAGTTGGGATTTCAGAACCTGTGGCGAATCCACGAGGCTATTGAAAAATCTCATGTCACGCCAAAGCTTGTTACAAGCTGTTTTCAAAATAGAACGCAGCACAATCACACAAGTGCAACCAGGAAATGCCACTCCAGCTGGTCAGAGTGCAATCCTTGGGTCGTCTCTGATTGGTGCATCGCCAAATTACCACAATCGGGCAATTATCCGATACCGATTCCCTCAAGTCGCGCTTCGAGGACTTTACTAAGCCAGGCGACACAAGCAGAGAATGTTGACATTGTCTATTGTATTTTCGTGAAATTCGTAGGGAACCTGTAACACTCGCGACCCTAAGCAAGATGAGGTGTACAGTAGCTTTGGGGAAGCACAAAATGTCAACGCCGAATTCTGGGTCCACCTGATTGAGGGCGTGTTTTTAATTGCATCTGACTGTTTTGCGGCAAGGTTTGGCAAGATTATTCACGGTCAAGATTTCCATAATGGAGATTTTGGATGATTCTGAACGTTAAAAGAGGCAGCTTTAAAACTTGCCACAAAACATAACACGATCGAAGAATACGCCCTGATGTCCTCTCCAGAGAGGCAGTATGTTTTACAGTCACCCCTAAAATTTTAAGAATTTGGGTTTCCAAGGACTTTAACACGAGCGGACTAGTAGAGTCGAGTGGAGTATTCTGGGTCCAATTTATTGGCACTACGCGAAGTTCTACACTTGGGAGAGAAACAACAATCAGCTTGCGTGGTGGGTAGGTGGGGAGAGGGAGTGGGGGGGTGATGGGGGTGCTTGGGTGCCGGTTTGAAAACATCGAGTCTCTGTCCCCCAACCTCGGAATCAGGATGGTTGAGACGTACAGAGAGCATGGTAGCAAGTCAGCCAACTTTTGCCCTGGCGAAAACCTTTCTGACTTGTTTTGGCAAAATCTAGAGGGCAGTTCGCACCGCAACCCACTGAAAGCGTGTGAGTTGCCAGCAAGACAAAGATGCTTTTCGTGCAAAACTGCACTTGTTGTGATGGGGCCCTTCTTCTGATGCACGAAATCTGATTCAGGTTTCGTGAACAGTGTCGGGCTTAAAGCACTGAACCGTTCTGTAAGCATTCACACAACCAGAAACCGCTCCCAAACTGGGCTTGAAGTCCCTGGACCGCAATTCTGTGCAGGGGTACCTAAACAAACCCCGAGACACGGGGGACTTGGTGTGCAGCCTGACCTAAAAACTCCATGTGCTTCCAGAATATTGTACAGTTCGGTACAGAACACCCTACTGATCCGCTGCACCCACGTTGGCTCTCGTGTTGTGTCTGGCTGAAAGCCCAGAAACCATTGGCTCTGCGAGTGCTGCCTGAAGCAGTATGTACAGGAGAGCGCCCCAGCATTCCAGTGAACAGTCAGCTACCGGTCCACGAGCAGTCACTGAGAGGGAAGTCGCTAGGCAAGTCGCTTTCCCCTAACTACAGCTTTAGTTGTGGCTTGCTTCTATTCTCTCAGCATAAGTTCGCACGAACGCCAGCTACGATTGCTCACTTGCCTTTATTTAGCTACAGCTTGAAGTCTTTAGAATGCTGACGTCATTGCAAAACGAAGACAGTAGTGACAGAACGTATTAGCGTGATTGTTCGGCCATTCTTATGACGAGGGGAATGGAGGAGCAACATCTGTCTATAGTGGTGGAGTCACGAAATGGCCAAGGCGCTGCGGGACAATCGACAGCTTACGGGATCGCGACAATGCGCGACGTCGCAGGCGACGCCGCAGGCGAGCCGCAAGCCACACGCGACGGCGTTACTACTCCGTCGTCGTGCGATGAGCCGACAGGCGGAGACGGACTCGCCGCCGTCGCCGGCGGCGTTTTGACTGACCGGTCGACTAACCGGCGCCAGCGGCGGACTCCTTGGAGGACGCTAACCGGCAGAGCGTCAGATGACGCGTCAGCAACAAACTATCAACTGGAACGGAAAGGGCTGTGGCGCGGAACTAGCAGCTCGTGTAATTCGTGGGCTCTTTGCGGCGCCGCACACGGCCAAGTCACCGGGGAGTTCAGCAGCGACGATCGCGGCGACATCGGTGGCGGAAGCTCTTCGCGCCGCGGTCTGTTCACGACGACGCTCTCGGGAGGAAGCAGCGGAAGCGGAAGCTACGGGAGCGGAAGCCTCGGAATCGGAAGGCAAGACGGGAAGGACGGGATAGGGAGAGACCTCGAGGCGGCAATCCGCGTGCGATGCGTGGACTTCGACCTTAAGAGCGAGAACCACTACGTGATCGTGATTCACGGGACGTTCGACGCGCCGCCGGCCGACGGCGCGCCGACGTGGTACCAGCCGCCGGCGCCCGGCGAGCAGAACTTCTGCCGCAAGCTGAGCCGGCTGCTGGCGGGGGGACCCATCGGGGAGGACGCCATCTGGCGCGAGCTGCCGTGCTCCGCGCTCCCGGGAATACCGTACCCGTTCCACTGGGACGGCACCAACACGCACGCCGGCCGCGTCACCGCTGCGACGAAGGTGAGCGCGGGGGGAGGAGGGGAGGGGAGGGGTGAGAGGGGGCGAGGGGGAGGGAGAGAGGGGAAGGGGTGCACGAACACGCACGCCGGCCGCGTCACCGCCGCGACGAAGTTGAGTGAAAGAAAACGGGACGAAAACGCGAGGGTGTTTTCAGGCGCTAAAAAATGCGCGGGAAAAATTAGGGTTGCGCGCCGCGGAGAGGAAGCGGAAACTTTGAGTGGTACCGCGGTGTGGTGGTTGTTTTCCGCTGGTAACTGCCGAGTGTTCGAGGGTCGGGGGAAAAGGGAGCGAGGGGGAAGGGGACGAGGAAACGAAAACGCGGTGGTCGGGGAATGGCCTGAGGAGACTCCCCAACGGACGCGCGCGGAGAGACGTTTAGGGAAAAAAAAAACTCGGTGGTCGGGGAGCGGGCTGGGGCGAAATCGCATGCGAAAGAATTCTGCCGGCGCCGTCGCAGCTGTGGTATGTCGGTCGGGGGATGCTTGCGCCGAGCTGCGGAGGAAAATGGGGTGTGGGGGAAGCTCTGTTCAGCGGTGATTGGTTGGGAAAAATCCCTAAGCTTTCTGGTCAGGGGTCCGCGGGGAAGGAAGGGGGTTGTTGGGGGCTGAGGGGGCGGGGGGAGGTTGGGTTTGGAACGGCTGAGGTAGAAGGGTTGGTTGGGGAGACGCTTGGCTGTGGGACGTTTAGGACAATCCCTAAGCGTTTCGGTTATTGAGGCTCGGCCGGGAAAAAGGAGGGGGCTGCCGGGAATTGAGGGGCTGCTTGCGGCCAGCTGCGGAGGAAAGAAGATTGATTTGGGGGGAAACCTTGACCACAGCGGGTAGGGGGTGAGAGAGGTGTGTTTGATTGTGACGACAACCCCGGGGTGTTTCGATTAGGGTTGGGCGGAGGGGAGGAGGGCCTACCGGAAAGGGGGAATTATCCGGATTTTTGTGAATTTCTGTTTCTGTTACCCTCGCTCTCCTGATGTTTCCGCTTTCCACCCATTAATGTCATTTCGCTCAACCTGTGCTCCTATGTCTAACATTTATTTTTTCCCCTGATCGTCATTTTATTCTATTTGCATGGATTACTGTGGATAGTATTCCCCTCCCTCCCTTCGCTTTTTCCCTCCCTCATGCTTCCTTGATTTTTTTTCTGCTTCCCTCGTGCTCCTCCTCTCAGCTGCACAAGCTGATTGACAAAATTGCTCAGAAAGATCCGGCGGCTCGGATACACTTGGTGGCACACTCACACGGCGGCAATGTGTTGCTCAAGACAATTGAGCTCGTAAGTAACAGAATTTATGTGCATCAGCTGAATGTTTTTGTGTGACTTTTTAATTTGGAGACGTCTCAAGACTGGTGGCACACTCACACGGTGGCAATGTGTTGCTCAAGACTATTGAGCTCGTAAGTAAACGAAATGCGAGCGCATCAGCTGAATGTTTTTCTGTCTGGTCCTCTAGTAGCTTTGCTGCTGGGAGGGCCCCTAGGTGTCACCCTGCTGTTCCCCACTTTCCCTTCACCCCTCCTCTCCCCTCCCCCCCCTCCTCCCCCCCCCCCCTCCCCCCTTTTCAAACAGTACATGGCGAAGCTGTCGCGGTGGCAGAAGGCCGAGTGGCACCAGGAGCAAAAGGGCTCTTACATTCAACCCATTATCCGTAACACCCCGCCCCTCCTTTCAGTCCATCGCAAAGCTGGGCCGGCGGCAGAAGGACGAGTGGCACCCGGAGCAGAAAAATTCTCGCATTCAACAACCCATTTCCCGTCTTCCCTCTTTTCCCCCTCCCCCCCTCCCCCCCCCCCAAACCTCCCCTCCCCCAGTACATGGCGAAGCTGGGGCGGCGGCAGAAGGACGAGTGGCATCCGGCGGTTGCGGAGAGCTTTTGGGCAGCGCACAGGCGGGGCTACGAGCTGATCAAGCGATGGCGGCGAATCGACCTGCGTGGGTCATGGTGGCGCTTCTTCCCCTTCCTTGTTCTGTTCCGAGGGTGAGGGATTTAGTGAGTGAGGGAGTGAGGGAGAGAGTGAGGGAGTGCGCCAGCAGAGCTTCGATCTGATCAAGAAATAGCGGAGAATCGACCTGCGCAGGTCGTGGTGGCGCTTCTTCTGCTTCCCCGCTGTGTTCTGAGGGAGAGGAGGGGAGTGAGTGAATGCGAGTGAGTGAGTGTGCGTGAGGGAGTGCGCGTGAGTGAGTGCGAGTGAGTGAGTGCGAGTGAGGGAGTGCAAGTGAAGGAGTGCCGAAGTGATTTTGAGTTGACTCAGAAGCAGCTATGGCGGTGCTTCGTCCCCTTCCTAGTCGTGCTCCGAGGATGAGGGAGGAAGTGAGTGGGAGCGAGCGACGGAGGGGAAACCTGAAAGCGTCTGAGTGGCCATCTGTATGAGAGGGTGAGGAGGGTCAATCTTTACCATTATTCCTCAACCCAGTAAATTCCTTTTTTATCACCCCTTCTCCCCCCCGCCTCCCCCCCATCCTCACGCCTTCCTGCCCCATCTACCCCCTGGCGGGGGTAAAGGAGAGGTGCCCCTGGGCGTACCAGCAGGGGCTGGCTTCCTAGGCCTCTCCCTGTGCCAAACTATAATCCCTTCCCCACCTCTACCTCCCTCTCCCTCCCCCCCCCCCCCCAGTGAAGGCGACGGGCGTGTGAAGGAGCGGTACCCCTGGGCGTACCACCAGTGGCTGGACTCGCGTCTCGGGCTGCCGGCTGTGCGGCAGTGGCGCTTCCTCTCCCTCATCTCTAACCCACCTCTCTCCCTCCCCCCTTCCCCCCAGCTACAACGGCCAGAAGGCGACAGGCGTGAAGGAGTGGTACCCGTGGGCGTACCACCAGTGGCTGGACTCGTTTCTGGGGCTGCCGGCAGTGCGGCAGCGGCGCTTCCTCTCCTTCCGTCTCAAACCCACCTCCCACCCTCCCTTCCCCCTCTCCCCCCACTTCCAGCTACAACGGGCAGAAGGCGACGGGTGTGAAGGAGCGCTACCCCTGGGCGTACCATCAGTGGCTGGACTCGCTTCTCGGGCTGCCAGCAGTGCGGCAGCGGCGCTTCCTGGCCTTCCGCCACGCCACCTCACCCATCACCAACGCCCTCGGCGCCCTCGTGTTCCTTGGCACGCCCTTCTACATCAAGAAGTGGGAGAAGAACGGCTTCCTGTGGCTTCTCGTGTTGACGGTGCTGTCGGTGGTGTTTATGTACATCTTCATTCTGGTGTACACGTCCATCTGGCAGATCATAGTGCTGCTCATTGCTGGCCACCCGGAAAAGTAAGTGGTTTTAAACGGTGCTGTCAGGTGCTCTAGGATTTGGTGTTTGTGTACATTTTCATTCTGGTGTACACGTCCATCTGGCAGATCATCGCGCTGCTCATTGCTGGCCACCAGGAAAAGTGAGTGGCTTTAAACGGTGCTGTCAGGTGCTCTAGGATTTGGTGTTTGTGTACATCTTCATTCTGGTGTACACGTCCATCTGGCAGATCATCGTGCTGCTCATTGCTGGCCACCCGGAAAAGTAAGTGGTTTTAAACAGTGCTGTCAGGTGCTCTAGGATTTGGTGTTTGTGTACATTTTCATTCTGGTGTACACGTCCATCTGGCAGATCATTGTGCTGCTCATTGCTGGCCACCCGGAAAAATGAGTTATAATGGGGTGCTGTCTCTGTGCTAATTGTGATCGCATTGTTTTTCGGTGGTGTTTTTGTACGTCTTCTTTCTCGTCTATGCGTCCATCTGGCAAATCTGTGCGCTGTTGATTGCCGGCAGGCTGGAAGAGAGAATTTACTCCATGTATAAAGAACATCTTTTCAATTGGTCCTGTTGCGGCGATGGTTGCTCAATACCATTGTAGCGCAAGCAACCATAGTGCTCAACTTGTTTTTTCCCTTCTCGTTTCAGCACGTAGCTCTTCCTTCCCTTTCCCCACACACCCCAACCCCAACACCCCCCCACTTCTTCGTCCCACCCCCTCTGATGCCAGCTTCTATGGTTCATATGAGTTGACTTGGTCTTGGAGAATTCTCAAAAACCAATTTACACCCCAACATCCCCCCACTTCTTCGTCCCATCCCCCCTAATGTCAGCTTCTATGGGTCAAGTGCCCCTCCTTTCATCATTGCCACTGGGATCATGCTACTCATTAATGTGAAGCAAATCATGGATGTGGGTATATTTCACATATGGTTGTAAGTATGGTAAAGTCTTAAGTGTTGATATAGTCAGTTATTGGAGGAAAGTGGTATATATGCAATATTGAAATTTATTAAATGTCACTGCAAAAATCTTAAGGTGTAAGTAGTTCCTGCTTATTTAGTTTATATAATGTGAACATATACTATTCCTTTTTTGTTTGTTGGTACAGTGTGACGTTATACCACATTTGTTTCCACAATGGCATTGTTTAAATGCATTCGACTAGTGCATGTGCACACGCATTTGGAAGCATATGTTCTTAGGTAGGTCCATCAACATGTTTTTATATGCCCTTTACTTTCTCAGGTGCTGCGAACCACGGTGTTCTACAGCGGCAATCTCTACCACAACCCGGCCTTTGATTGGTCGCCTGCCATGTCTGCTCTCGTCATTCATGCCGGCAAGCTCGACGAGGTCAGTCCCCTCCCCTCCCCCCCCCTCACACCTGAACCCACCTACCTCCCCCCTCACACCTGAATCCACCTTGCCCTGCAAACCACCCTTCTGAAAAGTCATTCATCCCGGCAAGCTGGACATAAGGTTGGTGTTGAGACGTCTCAAAACCAACCTCGCAAAGCATCCTTCTGAAAAGCCATTCACACCGGCAAGCTGGACGAGGTCAGCCACCCCCCACTCCCTCAACCCACCTTGCCTCGCAACACAAACCACCCTTTTGTCTAGCCATTCTGCTTTTGAGTCGACTCAAAAGCAGCCTCGCAACGCAAACCACCCTTTTGTCTAGCCATTCGTGCCAGCAAGCTAGATGTGGTGAGCAGCTGCCCTTCACTTCGAAATCAACCTCGCCTCGCCTTTCAATTCAAGCCACGCTTCTTAATAGTCATCTATGCTATGCCTTCAATTCGAGCCACATGAGGTGATCTACCATTCACTTCTCAGTCCTAGCTCTTCCCTCCACCAGCCCCCCGCTCCCGGCCGGTTCTCTCCCCGCTCCCCTTCCCTTCTCTCTCCACCATTCTTCTCCTCTCTTCCTCCCCGCCAGTTCTCCCTTGGAGTCACGACCAGTTATACCTTCGCTTCCTTTCACCAACTTTCGGATGCATCTCCCACCACCCCCCCTTCCCCCCCAAAACCCCCCGCCACCCCCTCTCTACTCTCCCCGACCCACAAGGCCAGTCTATCCCTGTCTATCTGTCTATCTGTCTATCCCACCCCACTCCTTCCCTCCCATCCACCCTCCCTCAACCCACCAGGCCAGTCTAGCCCTGTCCATGGAGCCAATCACGCGTGCCTACGTCTTCCCCCACCTGACAAAACTCCTGAAGCAGACCCCCTGGGCGCCCTTCCCCAAGCCGCCCACGCGCTACGCGCGCCAGGTGGACTGGTGGGCGTACGCCTTCCACTGCGCCATTATCATCGTGTGGGACACTGTCTTCTTCCTCCCGGCTGCTATCATGTCGGTGTGCTCGCACATCGTCGCGCCCATTGTCACCGGAACCATTCAGAAGATGATTGTTACGGTCAGCTTCGGGCTGTCGCCCGGGGATCTGAACTTCGCGTATATTTATGTGGATGAACAACTGGACATGGATTTGGCCACGCAGCAAGTCGACCACTGGAATGTGCAGGTGAGTGTAACACAATTACTAGCAAGGGGGATCTGAACTACGGGTATATTTACGTGGACGAACAGCTGGATATGGACCTGGCCTCGCAGCAAGTCGACCACTGGAATGTGCAGGCCAATGTAAACACAATTTCTAGCAAGAGGGATTTGAATGTCGCGTACATCTATGTGGATGAACAGCTGGATATGGAATTGGCCACACAGCAAGGTGACTACTGGAACGTGCTCACCCTTCCTCTCTTCCCCCGCCACCTCCCCCTCTCCCCCCCACCCTCTCTCCCCCACACTCCCCCCCCAAAGAAATTCGTGGCTGAGACCAAGACCAAGTCGATCAAGGAAGAGCTGATGCTCGGCTACATATGTGGGTGACAGACACCATGGAGCACCCAGAGTGGCTGGGGCCGGTGAGTCCCGTAATCTTACTCACCCCCCCCCCTCCTCCCCCCCCTCCTCTCCTCCCATCAGAAACTCTTGGCAGAAGCCAAGACCAAGTCGCTCAAGGGCGAGCTGATGCCCGGCTATGAGGACGACACCGTGGAGCAGCCCGAGTGGCTGGGACCGGTGCTGGAGTCCCCTCACCAGCACCCGCACCCGATGCACAAGCAGCTTCGCACGCCTCCCAGTGTCGGTTCGAGCTCTGCTCCTGGCTTCGGCCGTGGCCGTGGTGCTGGTGCCGCTGGTACCGCTGGTGTTTCTGGTGGTGCTGCTGGTGCTGCCGGTGGTGGTGCTGGTGCTGGTGGTGATGGTGCTGGTGATGGTGGTGCTGGTGATGATGATGATGGTGCTGGTGATGATGGTACAGCTGCTGCCACTGACCTCCCAAGCACCAGATTAGTTGCCGCAAACACCCCCCCGAGCACCCCTCCAGACCTCCAAGGCACGCACCTGACGCGCACCAAGAGCGCCATCAGCAGGCGGAGAAGCTTCCGGGATGTGGTGCTCAGGCGGACGGCGAGCGAGCGGAGCCGGAAGGGGGCCAGAGCGGGGCGGATGGCCACGCTGGCTGCTGTGGCTGAAGCAGCAGTGGGGGCGCATGGGAGAGACGAGGTGGAGGGGGGAGAGGGGCGAGGAAGGGGCGAGAGGGAGAGGGTTGAGAAGCGGACGGCTCATGAAACGTTTGGGGCACGGAGCGAGCCCGGAGGCTCACCTGAAGCAGTCAGATCTCGAGGGGGCAGCGGCATACCGGAAGGGGGGAGGTCGCAGGCTGACCATACTGTAACAGCGGCCCGCTCTGGAGGCAAGCTTATGAGAATGCCAAGTGTGGACCGGCCAGAGGAGGAGCAGCAGAGCCTGGACTCCGTGGCAGAGTTTCTGGAAGGGTTGAAGTCACCTCAAGGTGGCAAAGGGTTGAGCTCGCCTCAAGGTGGCAATGCGGGTAGTAGACTGGCAGACTCGGCTTCCAGTAGCAGTTTTGCCGCCACCGCCGCCGCCGCCGCTGCTGCTGCTGCTGCTGCAGCGAGGCAGCTGCAGCCGCAGCAGCAGGTGGGGTTGACGAAGCCGCCTCTACCACCGCTGCAGCAGAAGCCTCCAGCCTTCCAAACCCTCTCTGCAGTAACCCCCACATCATCCCTTCATGGGGGCGCTAACTTCATGTCGCCTCGTGATGGCGCGACCCATGCCGAAAGAGGAGTTTCAGGGGGAGGGTATGGAGATGCAGCAGCACCACCACCACCACTGCCATCATCATCAGCTGCTGCAGCTGGTGCCGCTATTGGTCCGTCGTTTGCCGCCTCTACCACCGGTCCTCCCCCCCTGGGTATACCGGCAACTGCAGCGCCAGTAGCACCAGAAGACAGCGACAGGGAAAAGCTTGTATACGAATTTCTATGGGACGATAAAGAGCTAGCGCTGGTGGCGGAGCAGTCGCAGACGTTCCAGCGGCTCAAGTCCCAAATGGCGACCATCGGGCGCAACCCGCGGCTGAGCGAACGGGAGTTTGAACGGCAGCTGCAGCAGCTGTGCGTGATGATTGAGGAGCGCGTGGGCGAGCTGACGGGGCGCTTTGACCTCAACCACGGCGCGTACTTCCGCGACCCGCGCATCCTGCGAGTGATAGCGCACTTCATAGAGAAGCGCGAGCTGCCCGAGTGGTCCAAGGGGATTGATGGGGATATTTGGCGCTGGAACGAGCACTTAGCTAAGATCCAGTCTGAGCATTTACTCCAGATGGCCTCGGGGGGTGGAGGGGGGGGAGTGGGAGGGAAGGGAGTGGAGGGCTCTTCAAGGGATAAGGAGTTGGCTGGTTCGAGCAGTGCGGCGAAGCTGAAGCTGTTGCTTAAGAATATTCGAGGAGGGAGCGGGAGGGAAGGTGGGTCGAAGGCATCCTCACGTATTCGTACCGCCAGCTCTGAGAGTTTGGACATGATTGCTGGCTTTGTTGATGGCTTGGTAGGCTCGGAAGGAGGCTCGGAAGGAGGCTCGGCAGGAGGCTCGGAAAGAGGCTCGTCAAATTTCGGCAACGTGGGCAAGGCAGTCAGTTTCAGCGTTCATGGGATGTCCCGGCCGAAGCTCGACTTACCGAACCTGAAACCCGAGGCTATTGCCGCCCCGATTCGGAAGATCAAATCCACGGTGGCCAGTGTAGCGTCTACAGTAGCATCTACAGTCGCATCTACTGTGAATGTTGCATTGCAACATGGAGATACAGTGTTACCAGTCCAAAATCCACAGCAGCAGCTGCAGCAGCTGCAGGAACGATTGAGGGCGACAGACGGGAGCAGCCGAAGCAGCGACCGACTGATTGGTAGCAGTGGCAGCGGTGGCAGCGGTGGCAGCCGAGGCACTGTTGGGGATGGGAGCGGATGCAGTAGTGTTAGTATAACTATTGCCGAGGCTGAGGGTGAGGGTGATGATGGTGGTGGTGGTGGCAACAGATGAAGGATGCATGTTTTATAAGGGCGTGTTCGAAGGCCGCCAGCCAAACTCGCCTCCAGTGAGGCACACGGTACAGTGCGATGCGCGTTTCAATGCGGTGTGAGCCGAATCTGACTGGAGGCTTCTCTGACATAGCTACAGACAAGCCCTAGGAACCACTCTAATTATTGACTACGTTAATATAACCCCATGCATGGTGTGTTCATTTTGTTGCTAGAATCTTTCAGAGTAACGAATTGAACTAGAATGTGAGATACAGTGGAAGGAATTTCCATTCCTTACTGAGTCGTACCTAGCGCGTACACCCAAACTCCTTGACTCGTCATGTTCGGCCTCATTTTTCGGCCCAACCCTTTCCCGCGCCGCGCCCGGCACTGTCGCCACATTGCCGAACCTACCCACGTTCCGAGGTTATCGCCCTAGCATGCCAACCCCTATATAACCTCGTGCCTTCATTGCAATAGCGACCTTGTATTCTCACGTTATATTTCATTGACACTTCCTAGATCATAACAGCTGGTATTAGAGCCCGACCTTTCAAGGAACCTTTCGTTTTCCCGTTCACTTAGTTAAGGGTGGTCAGAGGGGACTAGCACGGCTGCACAACAGTTGTCTTGGATAGTAAATATTTTTACGTCAACAACTACAGCGTGTGCGCTAGCTCCTGCCCCGTCCTGACCGCCATGGCCCTGGTAGACTCGACAGTTGAGGGACAGTCCACCTCAACTGCTGCGAATCCTGCCTGGGAAAACGTGGACATGCAAACATTAATGGAGCAGTTGAAGAATTTGACAAGCGTCGTCAACGACCTACACGACGAGAACCAGCGACTTCGTCAGGCGCAGGAGAGGCGTCCAGAGGAGCCGGGCGACGATGCACGAAGCGAGGCGGGTGAGCAGCAACCGTCGCGAGTGGAGCTGGCACGACTAGCGGCAACAGCCCCGCGCTCGACAAGTGGCAGCGTGGGATATCAGCAACCCGCTCCTTTCGACCCAGCTAATAAAGGCGAGTGACAGTGCGGTAGTGGATATTCGCCATGAATATCTATTTTAACGCGGCGGGCATCAGAGACGATCAGAAGCGGATCAGCCACGCGTTAACACTGTTGCAAGGGGCCGCCCTACGATGGTGGAAGGTCATCGTTGACTCAGCGGCAACTCGCACAGAAGGACAACACGAGTGGTCCGAAGCATTCGGCGACGAAGACGAGGCAGATCTGTTGTTCGGATCGACCCACATTCGCACGTGGGCAACATGGTGTGCGGAGCTTCGCAAGCGGTTTGAGCATGCACCTGACTCAGACAAGGCATGCGAAACTCTACGCATGTGGAATAAGCTGGGATCTGTGTCTGAGTACGCCGCGTCATTCCTGACGTTGGTGGACAGATGTGGCTACATGCACGAGTTGGAGAAGGTCGACAGGTACATGGGCGGCTTGAAGCCTAAAATACAGTACCAGATAAAACTGCAACGCCCTGCAAAGCGGTTACAAGACTACATCCAGCTCACCGAAAGACGCGGATTTGATCACGAAGCCGAGGACGAACTTCTACGACGGAGGTCGCCCTCGAGAACAGTACCAGCGCGCCATGATAAAAGGGGTGGACGCAGTGGATATTTACGCAGTTGCTCCGCAAAATACGGGGCTATGCTACCACTGTAGCCGGCTGGGTCACATCCGACGCAACTGCCAAGAATTCATAGCCCTCCAGAATTCTATGGGGAAGAAGCCGGAGGAGCGATCGGGAAATGGGTCGCGTCAGTAAGTACCGGGCCCCTTACTGACGGGTAGACTTCTTCGCCCGAGCCACACAATCCCCACTGGGTCGTGATCCCGATTGCTGCAATCGACCGGACCCGGACGAATAAGGGGGACGAAACTGCTGATCACCCTGTGTTGGTGGAGGGTAAAATCAACGGGATGTTATATTGAAGATTTTCGTTGATGGAGGCGCGAGTCACAGTCTCATACAACTGGATAGGGCCAAGAACTTGGGTATACCCTTACTCAAGTGTCTACCTGAAATCGACGCCCGACTGGTGGACGGAGCACCACTGGCAATACGGGAAAGAGTGGAGAACGTTGGTTTTATATATGGGGAGCATGTAAATTTTGGATGGGACTACTGGCGACTACTCTCGAAGGATGCGACGTGCTGCTGGGACGTGATTGGTTGCGACGGTACAACTCGAAGATTGACTGGACAAAGGGTGGCTTCAGCATCAAGCTCGATGGAATTTCCCGAGAGCTGCCCAAGTGGACGGGGCCTCGCATGCAAAGCACCCAAGTCCATGCGATCACTTTCAAGCGCGCGATGAAGGCTAGAGCTGCTGCGTACGCCGTTGATCTTTGCGAGGTGACATCGACGGTCGAGACCAAAGTTATCGAGAAGCTGTGCGAGGCCGTTCCTCTGGAATTAGCGGACCTGATTCGGAAATACCCAGAGATCTTCCCGGATGGAGGATTTAGAATGTGTATCGACTACCGCGCGCTCAACCGAATCACCATCAAGTCGCGTTACCCGATCCCGCGAGCCGACGAACTTTTCGACCAACTTCGCGGAGCCAATTTTTTCTCGAAAATCAACTTGCGATGAGGTTACCATCAGATTCGCGTCACCGCCGAAGATTGTCACAAGATGGCATTTCAAACCCGTTACGGCAACTACAAGTACCTGGAGATGCCTTTTGGCCTCACGAACGCGTCCTCGACCTTCCAAATGACCATGAGAACTCTTGGACAAATGCGTTATCAGCTACCTCGAGGACATACTAATCTACATCCGCAGCAGGGAGCAGCACTTATAGGATCTTGATGCAGTCTTCACGCTGCTGCACAAGAATCGCCTCATCACCAAAGGGTCTAAGTGCGACTTTCTTAAGCAGGAATTGGAGTTTTTTGGCCACATAGTCTCTACTGAAGGAGTGAAAATCGACCCTAAGAAAATCAAGACCATACAGGAATGGAAGCCGACAACCAATATCAAGGAGCTGCAGAGTTTTTTGGGATTTGTCAATTACGTCCGCAGGTTTATACCCAATATGGCTGGGTTATCTGCCCCACTAACTGACCGACTCAAGGATCACGATTATTTTTTGTGGGGAGAAAAGCAGCAAGCTGCATTTGACCAACTAAAGATCGTGCTCACGTCGCCACCCGTCCTTCGCATCGCCGATCCTGACAGTCCATATGAAGTCATCACCGACGCTAGCGACATCGCCATCGGCGTAGTTCTTCTACAAGATTATGGCGAAGGATTACAGCCCGTCGCCTATGAATCCCGGAAGCTGCAGGGCGCAGAGAAAAATAACATGGTACACGACAAGGAATGTTGGAGATCGTCCACGCGTTCAAAACCTGACGGTGCTACCTGACCGTCACTGGCGTCACTGTGCGGACCGACCACAAATCCCTCAAGTACCCGCGAGCCCAGCCGAATCTCAACCCACGACAAATCCGATGGCTCGATTTCCTCGAGTCAGACTTTCACTACACTATCACCTACAAACGGGGCGCCAACAACATTGCTGATTCCCTGACCCGACCCACTGCCCATACAGCCACCATACTAGTCGCCCGGACCAGCCCACTCCTTACCGAACTATTTACCCACGGCTACAAAATCGACCCCTTCTTCCGCTCCTCCATTCACCAATAGCATACCACCGCTACCGGACACTATTTTGATAAGCGCGACACTTCACGCATCTGGGTTCCCGACTACGATTTACTTCGTACCCTTTTAATCCAGGAATCCCATGACAACTCTACCTCCGGCCATTTCGAAGTCGACAAAACCATGAAGATGTTGCAGCACAATTATTACTGGCCGAACATGGCCGACGACGTGCGCAAGTATGTGTCCTTCTGCATCGCTTGCCAGATCATGAAATCATCCCATCAGCAAGCAGCCAAACTCTTACAGCTGTTGGATCCGCCAGAGAGACCCTGGCAACACGTCACAATGGACTACGTGACAGGACTGCCGGCCGGTCCCAGCGGAAACGACGCCATCCTCGTGGTCGTTGACCGACTCGCAAAAATGGCGCACTTCATCGCCTACCAACAGAAAATCACAGGTGAGCAAACTGCCCAACTGTTCATCGCCAACATCATCAGACTGCATGGACTGCCCACCGCCATTATTTCAGACGGAGACCCGAAATTCACATCGAAATTATGGCGCCACCTGTGGGACCAATCCGGCACCGAACTACACTTTTCCTCAGCCTACCACCCACAAACTGACGGGCAGACCGAACGAGTCAACCAAACTATGGAGCAACTCATTTGGACTTCCCGTGTTGACCCACAGACATGGGAGAAATCCCTTCCACAGCTGGAATTCGCGTATAATAACGCGCCTTCCGTCACAACTCATCAATCCCCATTTTTCCTCAATTACGGATAGGACCCAGTGGTACCCTCTACACCAAACATCGAGACACCCGTGCCCCGGTCCCAAAGATTTGCCGAAGACATCCTCGTAGCTCGAGAAAAAGCAGCCGAGGCAATCCGGAAAGCCAACCCGGTCGCAAGCCAACAAGCCGATCGTCATCGACGTAACGTCACTTACAAAGTGGGAGATCTCGTACTCCTCGATACTCACAATTTGCGTCTGCCGATCCCGAGCAAAATCCGACCCTGATTCTGTGGCCCTTTCCAAGTGACCAATATGGTGACACCTGTCACCGCTCACCTCCGACTTCCCGCGGATTGGCGTCACCACCCGGCTTTCCACGTCAGCCTATTACAACCTTACATCCCCAGTTTGTCGGACTTGAAACGTCAATGCATCGTACCGCAGCTGACGCCTCTGTAAGAACCAACGACCGAGCCCTTGAAGATTCTCGGCCCATCGCGTCGCAACGCAGCAAAACCGTCGAATGGTGGATTTTCTCATCAGATGGCGCGATTGCACGTCTGAGGATGATAGCTGGGTGCCACTCGATGACATAGAATCACCATCAAAGTTAACGAATGAGTAGATCCATGGCATATAAGAGAATATAACCTAGTGGGTTGTACTCTCTAAGGCACAAACCTATGTAGTCTATGATAGCATGCAAGGATATATTTGACACACCCCCTAGATTGGATAGGGACAGCGCCTGATGAGAGACAAGCAGCTCAGGGTGGCACTACTAGTCTAGCCTCTGAGGCAAGGGTCTAAAGACCAGTCAAACGAGTACAAACAAGGCAAGAGCAAGACCACGGCGGCACTATTAGACCAGCCACTAGGAAGAGGCCACAAGGC